AAGGTTTGTTAAAAGAGAATATAAAAAGAAGTTCCAACTAGAAACAATCTTCCAAAGTGTAGTGAAAGACAGAGTACAACGAAAATGTATTATTTTAAACAATCATTATGGTAACCTTCAAGAGAAAATCTGATGACTTGCCAGATATTACTTAACATAACGTTATGACATTTCTTTTACTTCTCCAGCCTTCCACAGTATGACTGTTAAATGATGATGTGATGTGATATTTAATGAGTATGATATTTCTTGTTCCCTCCCCAGCCACCCCCAGTAAGACCCTGGTAGTGAAGAACCTGTCCTACAACACCACCTCCGAGGGTCTGCAGGAGGCGTTTGAGGGGAGCACCGGAGCTCGGGTCATCATGAAGCCTGGGACGGACCGATCCAGGGGGTCAGTTGTAATAGTTCCCAGTGTCAATTTGATTTTATTTGATTTGATTTGATTTAAATTAACTAGGCTGTATAAAATGATACAGCCAGGACTGCCCAACTAGCCAGGGGCTACATGTATGTTTTCCATTCATGTATTTAGCTTTGTTCAATCTTAGTTTTAGTAGACCACAGAAAAGTCCCTGTACTTTTGTTAAGTCAATAAAAATGTGTATTTTAAAGGACAAGTCTTGGTAAGTGGACAACAGTTACAAGTGACTTACAACAGGCATTCAAATGTGTTAACAGGGGTAGCTTTTACAATACTCGTTCAGATGTGTTAAGAGAGTATGTTTGCTTGTGATCATGCAGTCAGGAACTGTTACTAATAGAGCTGTGTACCATACCGATACTGTACCGGAAAAATTGATTAGGTACAGGTCCAAAATACCTACTCCCTCAGGTACTGTACCTAAACAATTTCACACCAATTTTATGCCTATTTGTGACCTCAAATGTGTATAAAGGTGGTTAACAATGGGTCCCTGTGTAAGGACAGCGTGTTCATGAAAACAAAACACTTAGTTTTGCCTATATTTTATCTGAACATTCGCCATAAACAAAGAATAAACCTTAACTATCAAGTTTATTTATGTTTTTTTGTTATTGAAGGAGTTCAGAAGACCATATAAATTGGTCGAATTGTTCAGGTACAGGTTCAGGTCCGGACCTGTACCTAAACCTGTGTACCTGTACCTGTACCTAAAATTTGTTTAGGTACACAGCTCTAGTTACTAACTATTGGACAATCATGTTGAATGTTTCAGGTTCGGGTATGTCGACTTTGAGTCAGAAGAAGCGGCCAAAGAAGCGATGGACAGCATGAACCAGTCAGAACTGGACGGCAGAACCATCAACGTGGAGTTCGGCATGGCCCGCGGCAGTGGTGGCGGCGGCGGAGGGTTTAACTCACCTGCACAGGTCTGTATCTGTATCAATATAGCTGGTCATCATCATCATCGGTCGGCTGCTGCGCAGGCGACTGCAAGGTCCCTCCACTGCCCCTTGTCGCTAGCAAGGTTGGCGATCTGCTTCTCTGTTAGTTGGTTGTGCTCATCTCCCAGTAGTTGCTGGACATACTTGAAGTAGGAGGTAGGCTGTCGGCCTCGCCTGCGTCTGCCATGAGAGGGCACGTAGAGGGCGTACAGTCTAACAGGTTCATCCTCAGGCATGCGCAGGATGTGTCCCAGAAAGTTCAGCTGTCTCCGACGCACATGCTGAATCAGCGGACTAGAAACACCTCAATATAGCTGGTATAACGGCCCTTTGGTGTAACACACCAGTTTTGCAGGCACGCGGCGCGGCGGCAGCTGGCTACATCACACAGAACGACTTGTTACACCTAACTCTTGAACTTCTAACTCTAGACATTGTTTAAAGCTATCTAATGATGATAGTTGCTGACAGTGAGTTCTACTCTGCAATTATAGTTTTAGAAAAGAATGAATTTTTGAACTCCTCAATCCTTCTTTGATAACTCTGGTACTTGAAGGCATGACAATTTCTTGTTCTTTTCTGGACTGGTATTAAGTACTTAGTAGTTGGTACGTCCACCAGTTTATTAGTCATTTTGTACATCATGCATAGTCTGGACATCTTTCTTCTGTCTTCCAGTGAGGCCCACTGTAGGTTTCTTTTCATTTCCATGACACTAGCACCTCTTTCATAGTTGTTCCTACAGAATCTTGCAGCTTGGTTCTGTACCCTTTCCAGTAAATATTTGTCTTTATTTTTGTACATCAGGTCAGCAAGACCCTGATTGTGAAGAACCTTTCGTACGACACGGGAGAGGACGACCTGCAGCAGGCGTTCGAGGGCTGCACAAGCGCTCGCGTCATCACGGACAGGGAGTCGGGCAGGTCTAAAGGGTAAGGAGCTCCTCACTGATGATGATATGTAAAGGGAAAACTACATGTAAGCCTGACACTAGACACCATTTGCAAACGCACTTTATTGTAGCTTTCTGTTTTTGTTTGTTTAAAGGTTTTGCAAAAGATTTTCTAGAGCAATTACTTGGGGGCACAATATTAGTACATGGCTGAAAGAAACTTGAGAAATGCCTCAGCATTACCAGGTAATTAATGGAACTTCGAAGTATTGTTTTGGGTACCTGAGCTGTGAGTTTGTGTATCTGTCCATACAGAGTAGGTTGACAGCTCTAAGGTGGGTGAATATCGACAGGTATGACAAGACCTCAAAGACTAGTGACCAGCAGGAGTTAGAGGTTGACATGGGATAATCAAGGAAGCTGATTGTTGCATGCTTCCCGAAAGTCTAAGATCACAGATGTCTTGTTTTTCCAGGTTTGGCTATATCGACTTTGATTCTGAGGACGCTGCCCAGGAGGCTCTGAAGAGCATGGATGAGCAGGAGGTCGGAGGTCGGCGCATCAGACTGGACTTCGCCCTGCCGCGCGGGGAGGGTGGCGGTCGAGGTACGGAAATGGGATGAGAAATGTTAGCCGTGAGCTGGTGTAGATGTGTCAGGTGCCAGTGGCCTGGCTAGGACCCTATACTGGTGTCAGGTGCCCAGGGCCTGGCTGTGTCGGTATGTGGTGCCCGTGGTCGAAGTGTGGTACTGGTAGTGCGGAGTGGCACGGAACGGTTGGGCTGTCAGGTGCCCCTGACCTGACCTTGTGTGCTGTCAGGTGCCCTTGACCTGACCTTGGTAAGGTGTGCTGTCAGGTGCCCTTGACCTGACCTTGGTAAGGTGTGCTGTCAGGTGCCCTTGACCTGACCTTGAACCAGTCTGATGGTTCAGTGGCATGTCCGGAGTGTTCCACAGTGCGGTATCGTAGCATGTCAGGTCGCCCCAGGCCTGGCAAGGCATGGGAGGGTCGTGTCAGGTGCCCTTGACCTGACCTTGGCATGATGGGCTGTCAGGTGCCCTTGGCCTGACGTTGAGGCTGGACCTGTACAGTTAGGCAGCCAGCTGTGGTACATGGAACTGTGGTACAGCTACCATACGGTGGTAGTCAGCAGTACATCCAGCAACAGTGGTACACCTGCCATGGAAGCTGTGGTACCCAGCCCTGGTATGCTAACTGTAGTACCTGCGCTGTGGTAGTCCCACTGCGGTACACCTCCCAGAGTGTCTGCTGTACTGGGCAGTACACGAGGTGAGACGCCACACCTTCTTGTACCCAGTGTATCACACCAGGGTTTTGCCCAGTATCTAGTAAACAAAATCTTGTGGCTATTGACTGACCAAAACAATGACACACAGAAAACAACCTCTGTACATGACAGTTTAATGATGGAAAGAAATCTAGAGCTGGGCAGAACCCTGCATCAGAGACACATAAACTACTGGATATTATCATGAAAGTTCATCTGTGTTGGTAGTTACATGTTTAAAATTAAAACTCTTGTTCCAAGACAAAAAATTCTCTCACCTAGAGCTTTTGACCAGTCACTCTGGTCTTCCTCAGTAGACTGACCCAGTGAATCTTGTCACGTGGCTTCTTTGACCCAGTGTGGCTTCTTAAAAGGGAAGTTAACATACACGATACAGTAGTTCATGTGTCTCTGTATCATGTCAACTTGGGTGTTGTGTGTTGGTGGTAAATAGAGGTGCTGTAAGTCATGATGTAACTTAGTGCAAAGAATAAGCTACTTCATGATTTAAACTGTGCATGTGCAGTGATTTGTTACATTTGAAGCCCCCTGAGACATGAACACAACAAGAACGTACAAGTTTCACCTTTCACCTTGCACATGAGCAGTTCAAACTGTGAACTAGCTTATAGTGATTTACCCTATTCATGAAATATCACAGCCTCACTGTTTCTGACCACAGTTTACTTACAGTAGATTTTCCTCACTTTCACAGGTGGATTTGGTGGTCGTGGAGGAGGCCGTGGTGGTAAGTCACCCTCTCATTCTTATCTTCAAAGTTCAACTTTCGGTAGAAGTATTTATGTAGCAAGTTTGAACTGTAATGTGTGTCATCTGCATAGCATGACATCCCAGAAGCATTAGATCATTGATTAAGAGTTTTACAGTCAAAAATTTGGGTAAGTCCAATTTTTGGTTTGGTTTTAGAAATAACAGTTTAAACTTGCTTCATAATCTGCTTTTCTTACTGTGTCAACTCTAGTTAAACATAAACTGCATTAAGTAGTTGCAATGATGAGACTTGGATTCCCCTACACTTTGTTTATAAGTGATACAGCAAGTCACTGATGCAGCTTTTTGCAAAGACCGTTTAGATTTGTGTGATTTCTAAACACACTTTGGCCTCATAAACTGATAAAGTACGTGTAGTACCTGCATCTGTATAGCCGGTATAACCGCCCCTGGCATAACATGGGCTAGCTTCGCAGGCACGCGGCTACATTACACTGAACAACTTGTTACACCTAACCTTTGAACATCTAACTCTTAACATTGTTTAAAGCTGTCTCATGAGTAATGATCATCTAATAGTAACATCATCATCAATAGTAACATAGAAGGGTATATACAATATAACACACACGTTAATCTATGTCTAACCAGGAGGTGGCCGTGCCTGCTTTAACTGTGGAGAGGAGGGTCACATGTCCCGGGAGTGCCCCAGTGGAGGGGGAGGTACTGTACATGCAGCTACTTTTGCAGTGGTTGTGCTTGTTTTTTGGTTCGTTTTTCTCCAATTAGTGACATTACAGCCGCTACTCTTCCTGGAGTCCTCTTACATACATTGTAAAATACAAACATAACTACTATTTACATTCACTTCTAACAACATTGTGCTACTAAGTAAACATTTGCCATTTATTTTGTGGTTCGAGGTTTTCGCAGTATTTGGAATTCGTAGTTGAAGCAATTCTGTAGCACAACGTCACTCACTACATGTATCTGGTCAATCATCTGTTGTACCCTGTCTTCAGAGGGCAATGCAAAATATTTGAAAATACATGTAAACCACTGCGAAAGTTTCTGCATTTGCAGTACCTCTGTTTTGTGTGATATCCCTGTTAATGTGATTTTTGTAGCTTAACCAACAGCTGTGTTTTTCTGATGTTTGGATCACCAATAGTCATGTAAAATTACTGAATAGCAAAGTTCTTTGATCACAACCTTTTATTTTTCACGAGCCGACGTTTCGATGACCGTGTGTCATCTTCATCAGGGCAATTCTGACTGGTTGCTGTGTACTGACGCTAGATGTTACTTGGTGCATAGTGCACTAAAGGTGTTACATAGGTCTCAGAACTTTGCTATTCATTCGTTTACCAACGTGATGAAATTATTTACGTCATGTACTATTGTTGTTCCCAGGCGGAGGTTTCCGAGGCGGTCGGGGTAGGGGTGGTGGCCGAGGGGGCGGACGTGGCGGCGGCTTCAGGGGGGGCCGTGGCGGCAGGGGAGGGGGAAGAGGTGAGAAAACACACTTGCTCACTCTCTCACTGAAGTAGCGTGCGTAGTCCAGTGGTTAGCGATCCTGCCTCTGGACTAAGAGGTTGGGAGTTCGAATCCAGACTGTTGTCGCTCAACCGACATGCACGCTACTGTTAATAGGGTCGCAGTCCTTAGGACGGGATGTTAAGCTGTGGTCCACTGTTTATTGTGCTTGTCGAAAAGAGCTAGGGGAATTCCCTTGGTACAATGATTGAATGAACCTGTAAATACTGTACATAGCGTCTGTCTCCTCTGTCACGACCAGTGGAAGATTAGCTCTTCAATGAGCTAAACTGGTTCAAGATCACTTTCACTCACTTTCCGGTTTAACGTCTGTTGTCCCAGCCAACAAGGGTGTGATGTGTTTGCACAGTGATGCTGAGGCTTGATGGCAGACGGCCCGCCATGTAAAAAAAAATCATCTAAATGTCATCATACGAATAAGAAAGATATATCCATGAAGTTTGCGAATGAACAAACTAACCAAAATCACTCTTTA